TGTATCGGAAGCGCAACAAGACCGGCACCTTGATTCAGCAGCAAAAACACAGTAGATGCTGCCCGCGGCTCGCCGTCTCGTCCGTTTCCTTTTTATGTGCCTTGTAGCCCCCGGTCACCTGAATGCACCTGGCCATCAACGCAGCCAGGCTCAGTCGGAATCAGCGAAGACGATCTTAACTGCCACGGAGCACGGCCACGATAGACGACATAATGCTTATGGAAGGGGAAGACCGAAGACCACCACAATCAAGAGCATATCCGGGCCAGAAGGGGTGGCCTTGATGGAGCAGAGCATCCCTACGTCGAACAGCCATTGATTATAGGCAGCACGGTGGCTATTCACGACGTTCTCCTGCTTCAACACCTTGATAGCAAGTCGACCATAGCCATGATGGCGAAGGCTGTGACGACCTTTTCAATAAGCACGACGTCAATGTTGGTGAGGGTGACCAGTGGCAACCTCGGCGGCGGCGACCCACACAGCGACAGCGATGCCAGCAATTGCTACGACGGTCAGGGGCATAGCTGTTGGACTGCGCTTCGCTACTTACCAAAAGTGTAAAAAGAAAACGAGTATGAATCTCCCGCTAGACTGCGAAAAGATACACCCTCCTCATTTCTCATTTTCTCCCGCGCAGCCCTCCACCATCGTGACGCCCCATCTGTTACTCACGGGCCCGAACGGATGTCGCTATCACACCCGCAATGCCCCAAAACCTCGGCTTAGAGTCCTTCCTCGCTCGATTCCGTCAAGGAACGAGCGAGATATGTGCTTTTCCACTTCCCTTCTTCTTCACCTCTTCCACCTCCGCGCAGCTACTTTCCTTCCTACCTCCCCACACAACACTCTATTGCACAAACTAACTGCACAATCTGACTCGCCCTACCTAAAAACCTCAATCTAGTACTTTGCTTCGCTCGGCTCCGGCAAGAGTTGAGCGAGATATCTAATTTTTCACTCCTCCCTTAGCCCGTTCTCCATACCTCCTCGCACGTCTTTTCCTCTCACCTCCTATCCTACACTTCTAACACCAGGGCTGACCTTGTGAGCTCACTCGCCCGTACCTAATACGTTGGAACACCTATCCCCTCCACCCGTTTCCATCAAGAAACGGCGAGGCTGACATTTCCTTCCCGTACTCTATCTCCCCATCGCCATCTCCACCATGGCTTCACGCAGCCCAGTCCCTAGTCACTAATCTTCTCCCAATACTAACTCCGACCCCGGCGCCGCCTGTCCGATAGACCCCCGTCTACAGTCCTCCCTGCCCGCACCCATCAGGGAGTGGGTGAACAACGACCATCTCCTTCCGCCATAGCCCCTCTTCCTGTGAACGTACCTGGCGCTATACCTCGTCCCGGTTCAATCAGTCTGTCCCCCCGCTTTTTTTTTTGTCTGTTTTCCCTGCCTGTATCCTGTCTCCTGAACCTGCCTTTGTCATCCCACCTCTCTCTCTCTCTTTCTCTCTCTCTCTCTCTCTCTCTCTCTCTCTCTCTCTCTCTCTCTTGTGCTAACACAAGCACCTCTTCATAGCGCAGCTACAGCAGCCTTCCCACCCGACGACAATCCCCATTTTCTGCCACTATCTCCGGCTCTACAGCCCGCTGTCGCCCAGGTCACTATCCCAGCGCTCCCGCAGGGCTTACGCAGAGGTAGGTGAATAGCTCAGCGCTGCCCCTTGCTTTATACTTCTGCTTTGCCCCAGCCTGTCCTCTCCATTGGACTCCAAACGCCTACAGTCCTATACGGTAGTTGTTGAATGGACTGGGACTGGGCACCGCTGGCTTAGCATAGGCGGGCATTGCCGCTGGCCCATCTGGCCTGGTCTGTTGCAGACGACCGTCCGGAAGGTCGCCTTTGGAAAGTCATAGTCCTGCCCTCCATGTTATAGCAGTAGTTATGACCCACAACGCGGGTTACCGTCTCACGGTTCGCCCCCCCTTTTCACTAGCGCCCTTCTCCTGGACCCTCGGCCCGTGCTCTGAACTGGTATTGGCTCAACCAAAGCAAGCATTATAAATAAAAAAAATATATATATATATATAAGTAAGAAAAAAAATAATAAAATAAAAAAGCAACAACGAAAAATAGAAAACCACAAACTCTAAAATTTACGGGCCCGTGCTCGGACTCCCCTAGCAAAACAAGGGGGGATAATTCTGCGGGACACTCAACCCCTCAGCTCTTCAACGCTCCAATGCTTCTACGCTGCAGCCTGCTGGCCTCGATCCCTATACCTCCACTATAACAGTTCGATACCGTAACCTATAGGGCTAAGCCCAAGCCTGGTATTAGCCTGCACGGTATTCCATATGAACAGGTGCGGCGCAGCCCCCAAGCCTGGGACGCAGCCCGACCCTCATTCCTTCTAACAAGGCCTGCGGTCACTAGGCCTCCGTGCCGCGGCCATCTCGTGCCCTACCTCATAAGGCGGCCTACCAGTAGTCAACCACTCGAAGTGAAAACGCCTTCTATCCCTGACAACAACATCAGGACGGCCGACTAAGCCGGCCGTTCGATCAACTTAGAAAGATCACACGCGCGCCTTAATCTCGCGCGCCCACACCCGCTCTACTCTAATCAAGCATCTTACTTATGTAACCAAACAGACTTAGGCGCGTCCCACGCAGTACACTTTAGACCTCTACTCGTACTTCCGGTCACTTGCAAAAACAAGGGCGGATACCCTTGTCAGGGTATTCGCACCGACAGCCTACCGGACCATATTAAGCAACGTCCCCGTTGCTTCGCCAGATCGAAAGCTACAAATTCCTCCATAACTCCAAATGCTGACGAGACAGGAACCAAGCTGATCAGCCGACAAACTCAGGGTCGAGGCCTCCAACAATCCAAGCCCTTGTAACTATATGCCGCCAGGGCTCTAACCTGGGTCTCCATTGTCCTGACACTAGGACGCCGGTGTACTAGACATACGTACTACAGCATAAGTCTCAATGGCTTCTCTTACCCGTCCTCTCCCCTTTGTCCTAGACAACCGTCGGCTTCTCGTTAGGGGCCCCTGGCCCCTATCCTACGAACAGGACTTCGACCAAGGGCGCGGGCCCTAATCGGGACCTAAGAAGGCGTTTTCGCCTTCCTCCCACAATTCTCACAATCAAATATATATATAAATCACCTCAACTCACCTCCTGCAATCTAGTACAGATAGGCTAGGTCTCCATCTTGGCCCACCGTAGTCTGGGTGATCGTGCCAGGTCTACGTCCCACCGCTCTTGTTAGTTCAGCGGTAGTGCCCTCGCAGGTTGCGCCGCGATAGGCTTTCTCCTGATAAGCATTCAATCAGGACTAAAAAAAAAAGACTCGACTCGACCCTTATCCCACGCCGGTCCGCAGGAGTAAAACCCTCCTAGGTGGCCACACCCCTTTAAGCCTTTACTCCCTAGGCCCGATGTAGGCCCGCTGGTCAGGTTGTGCCGATCAGCAGTCGACACTAGGGGTTGCGCCCTAGTGATGCTAAACTCTACCGTTAGCTTGGTATTCTCATACATGTTCCAGGATTAGCACATGTGGCTAGACGGTGGGTCGCAACAATACAGGCCCACCGCGGGACTACGTAGAGGCCTGTCACATATAAAAGGTATTTACCAGCCCTCTGCGGGACAACACAAGGGATCGTGGCAACCTCTCCACATTTACAAACAGAATCACCGCCATTTGCACAAGGCCGTGACTTCCTTACTTGATCAAAGCAGGAAGCCACGCATCCCAGTGACATCTCCCAAAAGAAACTATTTGCGACCTCTCCAAACCCTCAACAGTGGCCAAGCAACAAACATGGTCCTTCTCGTCAGACCTTATCATACCAACCTTGCTTACCATGCCACCAATCTGGTAACCACCCTTCATACGAGGGAGGTCTCACTCCATAGGTCTCCCAGCATGCAGAGGGTTGCCTCCTCAAAAACCCAGGCACCCCTACCATAGCACAACTCAAACTTGAGAGACCAATTTATGGGTCCTCATCACAACTCAACCACATACATTCGGCATGGCAAGCATCTGAGTCTCAAGGACTCACAAATCCAAGGGATTCTTATACTTTCACAAGGACAGACTGCACTCCCTCCCCTTATACCTGGCCCCGTCACCTGCCCGCGGGCAAATCACACAAGTATAACGGAGAGTAGGCAGTTCACATACATTCTATTCGCACGGTGCACAACATTCAAGATGTCGTTCATACATTCAACATTCACCATACATCAGGATAAATCCACACATGTGAGAGTGAGTGTGATTGTTATGTACAAAGGATAGTCTCAAACCTCACTCAACTCAGATATACACTTAGGGATGAGATATCTCATCCTAAAATCCACAGGGTAACTTCGTCTCCGAACCCACACAAAACAACTCACCCCACCCTGAATATAGTACATGGTTATCTGTTCAGGGGATCCCCAAAACAATTAAGTATTCTATTGCCACTTAGTGTACGCCCCCTATTTTACATGATCCTAGTTACAGCGGCTATCGGCCATCCCATGCCGTAGGTCCCATCAACACACTCAACGTCGTAGGTGTCCACCCTGCCTAAGTAATAGCAAAATCGTCAAAGAAATATCCAGTTTTTAATCAGGTGAACCAGACCCTACTCACTCATCTCCTCCTGGTTCTGCCTGTACAACTGAGCTCTACCCCCATCTACAACTCGTTCCACCACTCTACCCTTCCTATCATACATCTTCCCATCATACTCCGAGACCTTCCCGTCTGCCTTGTCCTTTAGGAATTTGAGGCAATACAATGCCATGTGCTCTTCTTTCGTACAATGGAAGCAGGTCGAGTCAAAAGACTTCCTAGGCCTTTTCTTCTTCCGCTGGGGCCCTGCTGGCGGTGGGGTTTCCCTAGCCTCTTCGTCCAACTCATGGCACTGAGGCACATCTCTGGGTCTCTCAGATCCTTCCTCCGACTCTCGCGGACTGGGCCCTGGTTGCGCCCTTGCTCCCTCTGGCTCATAGTCAGGAGTATCCAACCTCTGGGGCCTGCCTGCGATGATGCCCTCCATTGCACCTCCCATCTCGCTCTCCAGGGGCTCTTCCAACTTGGACTCTGGTGAAAACAAGCTCGCATCCTCCTGCATAGTGTGGACTGCCTCCAGCAGCACGTCCATGGATTCCTGTCGAGCCTTGGAGGGGCTCATCACTGGCCGAGGGCAGTCTTTCCTCAAGCGACGGTGGCATGGCAGGGCCTGCAGCCATCGTGGGTAGCACCGCAAGCTCCGTAGGGACTCTGAATTCGAAGGCTTCCCTCTCAGCCTTCCTCTTGGCCTCTGCCTCCCCAGGCTCCAAAATGATCCTTCCCATAGGTGCCTCTTGCTGAGGCTCAACCACAGCTGGTTGCTCTGATACGCCATGTCTTGGCTGACTCTGCTCTCCTGGCCTGCTACTCTCCGCCCCATCCCTGCTGCCATGGAGTTGCTGCTTCACTTCCGGGATGGTGGCGGCCTGGTTAGCCACCAGAGCCCTGAGCTCACGGACTTCCGCCTCAATGGTCCCCAACCGTGACTCCAACCCTGCTTCCTTCAGTTCCTTCCTTCTCAGATCTGCCTCCAACATCATATACATGTCGAAGGAGGTCTTGGATATGGAGCGAATCCCCTGATCCAAATACTCATCAACTCTCTGTGAGGTTTCGACCTCTGCCTTGCCTGGGGTCGTCAACCCTTCGCCATGACGAGCAAGAAATTCTTCCCACATCTCCCGGAGCCCATATGGTTTATAGTGCGGTGGCGGACTTGGGAGTACCCCTGCTGCTTCCAATCTTTGCCCCTCCTGCCGGATTTCCTCCCAACGTCTCGCCACTCTAGCCCGCTTCTCCTCAGCCGTTTCTTTCGCTGGTACTTCCTCTACCGTGCGTTGTTCGACTTCCCCTGGGATCCCCGTTTCCACCTCTCTCTCGGCCTGACCTGGTTCCCGGGGTGACTCCACAGGTATGACCTCTTCCAGATTAGGCTGCTCCAGAGCGTGGGCGGCCAGATGACTATCAATCAGACTGTCTGCCTCCCTCCTCAGACTGGCCCCCTCCGCCTCACTTGCCTCCATTCCTGTCGGCGATAGGGCTGTCTCTGGCACCGAGATCGAGACTTCCTCCCTTTGTACTTTCTTCCTCGTATCTGGCGGGCTCTCGAGTGGACTACCGAGCCTCAGCCCCACGGCTGGCCCCTGAGGGGGAGTGTCTTCCTCAACTTCTATGATCTCATCCCCAATCCGGTCTTTCATAGCACTCGGCCCCTCCTCTTGTTCAGGGTCTGGAACGTCCTCTTGCGGTACTTCCGCGATGGCCTCAATGCGCACCTCACTCATCGGCAACTCTCTCCACTGGGCAGCGTCCAGATGTGCCTCTAACTCTTGCAATGACCCTTCAACGACCGGTATCTCTTCCTGTATATGTTGTGGCGCTTCCCCCAGTCCTCCTCCGGTATAGCGGTGGAACTCTACTGGCCCCAGTCCACCCTCGGGGTGCTCCTCCTGTCGTTCTGCCTCAGGCACGTCCTCCTCTTCCCGCCTAGCGAGCGCCTTCCGACCTCTCCGCGAGGTTCGGTCCTCAGCGGGCTCAGGTTCCCTCTGCCTGCCGCTCCTGAGGCGCCTTTCGACTCTAGGCCAAGGTGGTTCTGGCTGCCGGAATGCCGCCCTCAAGTGCGCTCTACAACCATCCCAATCTCGGGCTATGTCCCTGATCTGTCTGGCCAAAGGTCTTTCCGCCTTTCGGGTCCACAGGGGTAACGTCGTCATCGACTCGCTTCGCGGTATTCCCTGGTTCTGCATGAATTGCTCGAATGCTGGGATGAACTCCTCTGCATTCCCAATCTCTAGCCGAATAGGTCTGCCATCAGGCCCCACAGGCGACGGCCGCAGTTCCTGCATCCGCGCCTCCACTTCCAACCTCGTTCGAGCCTCCCTGCGAATCTGTGCGATGGGCTCCATAAACCTGCCAACTCCCCTCAACCTCTCGATCGTCCGAGTCACGGTCCACCCCATATGGTCAGCGTGGCCCCAAAACTCGTCCATGAATAACTCGATATCCCCATCGTTATATACTGGAGTGCTTGCTCGACGGTAAGGCCCATGCCGTGCATGTCCTCCTGATGCTCCCGCTGGCCGTCGTGGTGGCCGTGTCCCCCTCCCTCCTCTTGGCATGGCTGCAAGTCAGTCCTGCACAACAGGCGAAGGAGACAACAGGCACGAGCCGGGGTAAGCAAGCAGGCGACGAAGAGACACACTCAGGCCAAACCAAGCACATGCCCCCAAGCAATCCTTCTAATCTACAAACCCATCTATTCCATTCTAAGGGGACAGGGTTGCCTATCTCACCTCTTCTCTGGCCACAAATTTCTTCAACCTCGTTCCTAACACCCAGTTTTTCCACTCTGTTCCATTCAGCTCCTCGATCTGGTATGCGCCGAACTCTCCGCATCGCACGATCCGATAGGACCCAACCACCTATTGTCCAGTTTCCTGGACCATTGTTTTTCCAGGGATGAATCATACAAGAGCACGACGTCCCCAATTACCAAGGGTACCTTTCTTACACGAGCCGACTGGTCCCAGCGAGCCTTATCGTCCATACGGATCCTCTCTACCTGGCCGGATGCCTCTTGGACCCTTTCCTCAATCGCGCCCACCTGCCGAGCTCGAATATCGAGCAATTCTTCGAAAGACAGATTTACCTCCAAGTCCTGATGCCTCAAAGTCTTTAGGAAGCTCTCGATTGGAAAGGTAGCATGTCTTCCATACCACAGTGTGGCCGGCGCGTACTTAGTGGTCCTTTTTACTGTGATGTTCTCAACGAAGAAGGCGGCCCTCAGATACCTCGGCCACTGGCTGGGCTTACCTTCGGTCCATTTTGCTAGTAGAGCCGTAATGGTACTATGACCTCTTTCCACCAGAGCATTTGCCTGTGGGTGGGCGGCCGTGGTGTAGTTAGCCACTACCTCATATCTTGATAGCAGCTCTTGCACCTCCTGACAGGTGAACTCCGACCCCCTGTCCATTATGAATTCCCTAACGAACGGGTAGCGTAGGTAATACTCCTCGATGCAGCTGACCAGAACTGGCCCAGTCTTCGTACGGATTGCCCGTCCATCTACGAAGCCAGATAGGTTGTCGCGCGCATCAAAGATATAGTTGTAGCCATAATCTCCAAGGGGCATGAGCAATAAGTCGAGGTGTACTACGGTCCCGACCTCTCTCTCCAGCCTTGGATGCAGTAGCTCTCCTGGCCTTAGACGAGTCTGCTCTTGGCACGGCACACAGGAACGGTAGAATTTCCCAACCATCTCCATCATCCCGTCCCAGTAGTATAGCTCACTTATTTTGGCATATGTGGCAGTAACTCCCCGGTGTCCGCCTGCAATGCCATCGTGAAGCGCTGCTATGACGTCGATCTGACGGTTGCGACCACATACCACCCGCCTGGGGTTTCCTACCTTTCTTCTTACGAAGAGATGACCGTCCCTTACTAGGTAGCGATCCCTCATCATCTGCGCCCTATGGCTTGCGTCTCTATCACGCATCTCGCAGGATAAGAGAAGTCCCAGCTCTAGGTAAATCCCTTCATACTCCTCTGCGCGGAATGCCTCCTTGATCTCTCCCTCTTCAAACTCGTCATCCTGGCTCTCCAACACAGTATCTCTTCCTTCGGCTGGGTTTAGTGAGCTTTCCAGATCAAGGGACTCCTGCAGAAGCGCATTGACAAGGAGGTACATCCCTCCCATTGATTCCTCGTGATGTTTTACTTTATCCGGGCCCTCCTCTATCGTCAGTACCTCATCCACCATACAATGGCTACCTGCAAGTGCCAACTTGGTCATCCATTAGACGTCCTTACTGCCCCAGGGATCCTCCTCTTCGAAAAGCTTGAGCACCAACTCAGCCTTCCGCTCATACCCCTTAGGCGCGTGCCAGATAGGATGGCCAACACAGCTGGGGACTCGTGGGGACCACTTATTGATGTGGAAGCGGATGTCCTCGTCCTGGTCCAGAAAGCCATTAACAGGGGGCGTATCCTCTACAGCTTCCCCGTCCCGCCTATCCCAGTTGATGCGACTTAGCCCATCTGCCCTGTTCTTGTTCCCTGGGATCCGTTCCAACTCAAAGTTGAACATCCAGATGTATGTCAACCACCTGGCAACTGTTGGATCGGACGGAACATAATTCCTGAGGGAGAAAGCCAGAGCCATTGAGTCTACCCTTAAGATGAACCTCCTGCCGAAGATGTAGTTTCGAAAAATCCGCAGGCAATGAAGGACAGCGAGGGTTTCCCGCTTGAATTGAGAGTAGTCTCTTTTTGACGTACACAACGTGCGACTCTCAAAGTGCAACGGCCTCTCCTTCCCCTTGATGTCTGCTTGGATTAGAACTCCACCCAAGGCCGTCGGTCCTGCATCGGTCTCCATAATGAATGGTCTCGTCTCCGTAGCGTCATAATCGGGCGCTCCCAACACCAATCCTCCTTCCCGGAACTCCTCTTTCATGTTGGCCAAATCCTCTTCCTGATCCTCACCCCAGGTCCACTTCTAATCTTGCCGGACCAGCTTCCTTAATTGCTCTGTCTTTGCCGCAAAGTTCTTGACGAAGGACCTCCAGAACCCACACGTACCTAAGAAGCTCCTTACATCTGTTACAGAACGGAATGACACCGACCACTCAACTATCTTATCCGTCTTCTTAACATCCGACCGCCGACCGTTCTCATTACAAACGAACCCCAAGATAGTCGCTTGCCTCATACAGTGCTTAGACTTAGGCCCACTGACCGTAAGGTTGTACTCCTCAAGCAAGCCCAAGACTTTATCAAGGTCCTGAACGTGCCTCCAAACAAACCGCCTTACTCCAGGCAGGACCTCATCGTCTTCCCTTTTTTGCAGCCCTTTCACTGCCAGGTCATCGATGTAAGGATGCGTGATGTGTGGACTAACTGTCTGCATGACCCGGATCATATTCCTCTGGACCATCGCCACCGCATTCGTCCACCCTTGTGGAGCCACATTCATGTGGATAAGCCCCCGAGGCGTGTGCATAGCTGTCACTGTTCGGTCCGGCGGGTAGACCAGAAATTGGTTATATCCGGAATAGAGGTCAATAAGTGAAATTATCGGCCTCCCAGCGCACGACTCCGACAGTGCATCAGCATTTGGTAGCCCACCTGCATCCCGCACGGTCATCGCATTCAGTCTCTGCAAGTCCTGTACCCAGCTTAGTGTCCCATTAGGCTTAATAAAGCAAAAACACGGGGATGCGGAGGGTCCGCTTGAGTAGTCGGCGACGTGCGTACGTATTTTGCCATCGAGGTAGTCCACTACCTTCTTCTCTTCGTCCGGATCTGGGTATCGCGCCCCTCTTAGATTCCATGGCTCGTGCGGCACGGTATGAATGCGGATCATTGGAATCTTGTCCACATCCAACCTGCCATGCTCCTCGTCGCTGAACGCATAGGCGCGATGTCTTTTCTTCATCAGCTCCACCATCAGGGCTCTTTCCCGAGGTAGTAGGAAGTCCGGTTCTCCCACTATCAACTTTCCTTCGTTCTCCTCATTGATACGACATGGCCCTTCTGACGGGCTTTCCCTCATCCGCCGTATCAACGCTCGCTCACGTTCGTAGTACACCTCCTCGTCCTCGGTAACCAGAACGGGAACTGGACGGCACTTTTTGTCTATCGTTTTGTACCGCCTTCGGACACCCTGCTTGAGCTGGCCCCTAAAACATGCTGACTTGCCGCTCGTGCCTGTGCCTGCGCCATCGCCGGATCCATTCCCCCCTTAGGAAGCCGGTAGACCAACTTCATTTCCCCTATCTGGGGATACTTTAGAACCTGCTCCCTCAGCGCCTGAATGGCATCCGGATCGACCATCTCTTGTGTGGCCACTATATCCATGGCCTTTCCCACATCCGACAGGCTGAGCGAGAAGGCTTCACCTTCTACTTCATCCTCGGGCTCTGCCATAAGCCTCTGATGTGCGTCTTCTGACTCCTCAATCGTGAAAGAGCCAGGGTTTGGCCTGTTCCTGAGGCTCCTTGGCCCAGTGTTCCGGCAGGTAATCACTTCGTAATTCCTGCATGTTGGATCACATAAAATCAATATTAATGACCCATCATGCTTATTATACATCAAGGTCTCTGTCCTGCATAGGAAGGACCTCCCCAGGAGGATACTGTGGTCTACATCAGGCATCACAAAGAAACAGGGCCGCGCTTTCACCCTGCCAATCTCCAATAGCACATTCGAGGCTATTCCACAAAACACACCCTTGTTGTTGGCCCCGTGCAGGATGCCGCAGTCCGAGCGGTCTATCTCCAGTCCAAATCTGACGGCATCAGCCTCCCGGATAATGTTCATTTCGGCCCCTGTATCTACCATGGCCGTGCACTTAGAGCCTTTCACCGCTAGGTCCACCACGCCACAAGCCACACACTTCCAATCCATTTTTATCCCAAGCTCTGCCCATTCCATCTCCTTGGGCAGGATCACGCTGAGGTGAACATTTGGTACCAGCTGCCTTGACAACCTACCCTTCAGTTCATTTCGGAGCCTTGGTGCGGACGCCAGGATCTCCTTGAGGGTCATTAAATCATTATGGCCCTCAAGCAGCCTGTCAATTACTCGCTCTACATTAAATCCTTCCTCTAGCCGGACCGCATACTTCTTCCTCTTTGGTGGTATGTCTCGCATAACCGGTTCGGCCTCTCCCTGACTTTCTCTTTTCTTGGCTCGCTGTTCGGCCCTCTGATCTTCTTCCTGACGTAACCGGTCATCTTCCTCTTCATCATCATCATCATCCTCCACCTCTACAGTTTCCTTCCTCTTTTCTGGTTCTGGTTCCTTCCGAGGAGGTTCTTGACTCGCACTTGCCTTGGCTTGACTTCGAGTGCGGGCTGCCTGAGCCAGCCTAGCTTGCGGGGTAGGGGGCCTAGTCATCATCCTTGATCGCGGGCCCGTCCCCACAGTGGTCACTCCGGGCCGCCATGGCCTGGATTCCGGACCAGAGTCATAAAGGAAGACCTTGGGAAGGTTAGCCCTCCATTCCTTCACTCCCTCGCAGAGATCTACCAACTTCCGTTGGTATCTCCCCACCTTGTCCAATAAGTCCTCCATCTTATTCAGCAGGACTACCGCCAGCCCTACCTTTTCATCGTCACCCTCATCGTCTGACTCGATGATTATGGGCTTCTCTCTTACATCCCCGGTCTGTAGCCTCTGGGTTACTTCCTCGTCACTTCCTACTTCCTCAACTCCAACTGGCAGTTCCTCCTTCTCCTGCCATAGCCTGAACGTGGCAGGGGGTGGCTGTCGTGCTGCCAACCTTCGTTGGGCCTCCGCCCTAACTCCACCAGCCTTCTTATCAATAAAATCTCCAAATTGGTCGTAAATGTCCCCATCTATATTAGAATAAATCAGTCCATTTCTCTCGTCCTCTCTCCGTATGTTGCAAAACCTAATAGAGTGGCCCTGCTGCTCACAGTGCTGGCATATGGCACTTCTCCAGTCAAAACGGACCCTTCCACCACCTTGATTCCCTTGGTTGTCTTGGCCACCTTGGTTGCCCCATTGGCCCCCTTGGCCACCTTGGTTGCCCCATTGGCCCCCTCGGCCACCTTGGTTGCCCCATTGGCCCCCTCGGCCACCGCCATTTCTGCCACGTCCTCGTCCACCGCCCCTTCCTCCATTCCCCTGGTTCCCTTGGCCTTAACTACCACCAACCGCCACACTGCCTTGTGAACTTTGTGTGGGCGTTGGCGTCGGTGGTACCGCTGGCTGAGTCTGGGCGGCGGGGTAGCTCGGAGGTGGCATACTTGCCTGGGGCCCAGCATAGGGTATTACCTGGCCAGACGACGCGGGGCCACCCCAGGGTACATAGGTATTAATTAGGGGCCACGGCCAGTGCCCAAATGGTGGCACTGGTGCTTGCAACGGGCCCGTACTATTGGATGGCCCGGACGAACTCGGAGATGCCGCTACCACTACTTGAGGCGCCTGGCCCTTTCCTGACCCTTGTCCGCCTTGTGCTAGATTGCGCTGCTTACGCTGCGCCTTCGTAAGGTGTGGAGGTACCGGCTCCTCCTCTTCCCATCCTTCCTAGGTAGCCTCCTCTACCACGGCCCCCTCGCCTTTTTCCTGGATTGCCGCCGTCACCTTCCGCTGTATCACCGGGTCTAGCCCTGCTAATAGGTCGGTTATGATCTTCTTTACTCCTGGCGACCCAGCCGCATCCCTGTCCTTCCGTTTCTGCCTCTGCAGCCTCACCTGGTGCTGCTCGACCTGGTCGAGGCCTCCAACCTCCACCCCTCTGTCAATGGTGGCCCAGGTACGTTTGGCATTTCCTCCCCCATGGCTTGTTAGCTCAACTGTCTCAGATGCGGTGAGCAGTCCCAGGAAGACGGCGCACTGCGCCTCCTCTGATATCCCGCCATAGTCAGCAGTCCATCCCCCAACCTATACTTCCGCTGCATTCCTTCCTTAAATTTAGCCCAGTCGCCGTTAGCGTCGTCGACCACCTTCTGCACTTCCGGATGGTGCATATGGAGCACATACTGCAGGATGCGTTTGAATTTCGTCTCGTCTGGTACTCCCACCAAGGCTTGCTCCACTAGGTCCAGCCATTCAGAGACTCGTTCCCCATTGAAGTGGAAGGTGTCGACTTTGGGGACACTCCTCGGCGTTCTCTCCCACTTGTCCATCGCCTCGATGAGATCATCGAGGGTCAGGACCTTGCCTGAACTGTCGCCTATGCCGCCTGTCATTTTAGCAGTCTGTCCTTCACTTAACTTCCCTGTAGTAAGACGAGGTACAAAGGCAACTTTATTCAGCACTCTCACTCCAGCATAAGACTATCAAGCTAACCACTTAGCCCTTGGGCGTTTCCGACTTTCACTGACACCCACGTCCCTTTCGTTCCCAGACCTACATTCACAAGGTCTACTTTCACTAAGGGCTTCCCCGCATAGTTACTATAATCCTACCACCCTAATATAGTCTTACGTACGAATTCACTTCAAATCTCCTACTCATGCCTGATTTCTTCCTTATCCTAATACCCGGATGTCGTTCCACCAGGGACAACGATAGGCAACCGTCATCCCTGGCAACGACGCCACCTGTCGAGCGCATCGGTCCGCCACGACTCAGCGGTAGCGCGGGACCCTCCCGGCCGCGTCACGCAGGAGTCAGACTACACATCCTCTTTGCGATATATACATGGAGCTTCTGTAAGCCGCTCCGGCCGGGTGCGCCAGCCATACCTCTCGCGAGCCCCTACGACAGGATAGGGCCTACGCGAGGCACGACTACCTCCACCTTACGGGAGCTGTCACCTCCCTTTGGTGGGCGTATCCCCGCCGAGCTACAAGTCCATAGTACAAAAGTTGATCAGCTGCAATCGCAGAGGTGGACCAGTCGAGGGCGTTTCTTGTTCGATGTAGCACAAGGGGTACGCGCGGTACTACGCCTCTATCGGACCTGCACGCAAACCGACATTTTGGGGGGCTGAGGTCCCACGTGCGGCTCGTCGCCGGTCGACTAGGACGTATACCACACTCCACGAGCACACCACTATAAGGTACATAAAAGTAAAACACACGCACACACGCACACACGCACACTAGTACTGAACGACGCAAAGGACGTACAACGCGACACACTCCTAGTCCCTTAGTACCCATCCCATAACTTCCTGGTGCGGGAATCGGCTGAGCGTCGTGCTCAAGACTTAATATAAGGCCGCGGGCGTAGGCCTTCTCATCTCGACTAGCAATGCCAAAGCACACAAGCAGTCGTGAAGATGGCGTACTATGCAGAGCCCATAATCGAGCGGTCCCTCGACACTCAAGTGTCAGACTCGAAGTATCGTGTAGGTTCCGCCCTTCACGACATTGCACGACTGAAGGACTAGCCGTGCAGGTGTCGCGAAACGTTTGGCTTCCGGCCCGAGTGCCGTGGCGGTCAAGGCAAGTAGGCTCTACCCGAGGGGAGTCCCCTTCAGTGCAGGGCCTAGGGCTTCGGATGTCCTGGACAAGGACCTTGAACCCCGGCCCAGGACCAACGTACGACTAGGAATCTTTAAGAAACACTTATATAAGTGATGGGGTCATCCTTTCTCTACTAGCCCAACCCCCGATTAACTCCTTGGCACGCGGGCCCTTCAAGCTACACAAGTACCCTAATTAGGTATGCATACATACATCTATACACACATATATACTCATATGGGAATGAACGTGTGACGATCACATCTCACAATCATAGTGGGCCTCCTCATAGCCATACATGTATATACGATCGCAGGGCAGTCCAATTCAATAATCCAAGCCCCAGAACATATTTGCAATCACATCAAAGAGTCAAGCAAAAGTCCATACACTACACGGAGTCAACTCCAACCAATCTCTATGCTCATACCCTTTGCCTCAGCTATGCAAGCCACAACCTCCAACCAACCAACCTTAAGTAAATACTCAGTACCTTTGTTAAATGGCCATTCAATAAAAGTCCGGGTGAAACCTTAACAAAACAGAGAAGATCACCAGGGATGAAGCCTCTTTAGGTTGAGTAAGGAGAGTGGGTTGAGGTTGAGTCGTAAACCGACGAGTCGGCAACCGACTTGTTATCTGTGATAACAGAGGGTGATCCTAATAGGATCAACGTTGAGTCCAGCCCATGTCTTGAAGCAACTTGATCCAAAAAGACCTGTGACACAAGCCAGGTCAATCTCAAGCTAAGTCTACACGCTCAGGGAGAGTAATCTCCACATCCTAACCCTACTCGAGTTGTCATATCTACCCAAGTCTAGGTCCACCTCTAGGTAGCACTCAGCGTAGGGTGGACCTCGCCATAGCCTCCCCTACATAGGCCGCCACTTTGTCCAAATATAGGCTAACTCCTCTAACTTAGAAAAATTTCGGCAGCGCTTCCCGTAGGAAAAGTGACATCGCAGAAAATATACTCGTCCAAAAAGTCAAATTTTGGATCCTAGAAAGTCAGAATTTGTCTAACTCCCTGACCTAGCAAAAAATTGGGTAGCATTTCCTTTAGAGAGGAAGGCTTCCCAGATTCATACTAAGTCGGAATTGAACTTAGACATAACGTCTAAGCTCTATCAGATGGAATCCCAACCAACTCCTTAGATTTGTAGAAATTTCGGCTGCGCTTCCCGTAAAGAAAGTTATAGTCCAAGATTTATACAAAGCTAAGTTTAGAATCTGAAAATGACTTTGATTCTTCAGGGCCCAATTTTGGCTAACCCCGTGAATTAGCAAAAATTTGGGCAGCACCTCCTTTAGAAAAGGAGGCTCCCCAGATTCTTACTAAGCCAAACAGTCATCAAAACCGGATCCTGAATAAGTCAGAGTTCTGACTAACTCCTTGATTTTGTAGAAATTTCGGCAGCGCTTCCCGTAGGAAAAGTGGCTTACCAAGATTTATACAAGACCAAGTATGAAAAAGATCCCAGAAAATGCAGAAAATGACTCTAACTCCTATGGCTCTAGCACGTGGCGAGCAACTACAGCAACTACCTATTAAATCCCAACTCAGACTAAGAAGTGACATCACTTAGACACATGCAGGCCAAACCACAGACATGCACTCTCTCACCATCCCCAAGTTACCTTAGCAAGCAATAGTTCGTAGCCTATCAATGATTTGTCCCTTATACCCAGCTTACATAGGGCATAAGGCTAGACCACCCAAACTTATGGAACATGTCTAGCCCAACCAAGAAGCATACACAAACATAGGGCACAACAACTTTTCTCTTCTTTGGGCATGTGACTAGGCCATCCTAGTCGCCCTGAACAGTTTAAGTATCCAAAGTTTATATAATTGTCTGCACTTAGTCTTTTGAAGTAGCATATAGCTGAGCCGATCATCTTCAGCTCAAGACTTTGTCTGCCCCTTCGTATCACAAGTTTATTCTTAGTTAAGTACTCTCTTCCGTTGGTGATAAGTTATAGTCAGGCCACCCAAACTTATGAAACTCTGTCTGACTAGCCTGTTCATAGATAGTATAATAGTAAAG